TAAGGTGCCACAAGTACTCCTTTTCTTTTTGCGAATAATTAAATAGTCATTGCACATAGACATGAACTTGAGTCTCCCCTTTCCCAGGTAAGGACCCTAACCACTAGGCTATAGAATCTTATGCTCTCTGGTTCAATGACTACTCAAGTATTTTATACAAAGTGGAACAGGAGAGCTTGAGAGAGACCCACCCCAGAATAGCCTATAGCCCAGTGGTCCAGCCACTTACCTGATCACCCCCATCTAAAAAGGATATTGCAAACTAGAGGGGTTCAAAGAAGGGTGATAAGAAAGATCAAGGATATAGGCAAATAAATTGAACAGATTGGGATTATTTTAGTAAGGAGATGAATAAGAGGAGATATGATAGTATATAAAATAATGAACGGTATAGATAAGGTAGATAGGGAGCTTCTGTTCTGTCTCATAACACAAGAACAAGATGACTTTCAATGTAATTGAAAGGTATACAATCCAAAACTGATACAAGGAAATACTTCTTCATACAATGTGCAATTAGACTGGAACTCATTGCCAAGACCTTAGCAGAAGTTAAAAAAGGGATTGGACATTTATATGGCTATCAAGAATATCCAGTTATAATTAATGCCAGCAAAAATGTTTGGAATGGATATTAAACCTCATGCTTCAGGGCTTAAGCCAATCTATTACCAGAAGTCAGGATAAGATCCAATGATAGAGAATTGGGGCTTACTCAGTATCTGCCTGCTATGGGGTTCTTACACCTTTCTCTGAAGCATCTGTAGCTGAGCACTCTGAGGATACTGGACTAGATGTACTTTAGGTCTGATCCATTACGGCAATTCCTATGTTCCTAAACAGCCAGATCCACAAAACTGTAGCTTTCTATTGACAAATGCATTTGATGTGACATTGCAGAAAAGAGTGCTCTAAGGAAACATAACTTGTGAAGCAAAGCTGCAACCACTGTGCTTCCTTGTCTGTATGCTCACCACCACTGTTTCAGGCACTACTTTCTATATCAAGCTGTTCTGAGGGTGACTAAATAGGGAAGAAATGGCCAGATTTTTTAAGACATTTAGTCATTTAACTCCCATTGGTTTCAGTGGAAGTTAGGCACCTAATGTCCTTTAAAAACCTGGGGCCAAAGTTAAAGAGATTCACCAAGCTAGGATCCTTCTTTCACTTATTTCCCTCAAATACCTCAGCTTTTTAAAGACACTTTTCCTACCTCTTTAAGGGGTGTCCTAGCTCATGATGACCTTTGTCACTGTAGATGGGCCATATAAACGGTACATTTATTTGCATTGCAGTAATGCCCAGCAGCCCCAGTCAGGGACCAGGTATCAATTTGTTAGGCCCTGTATGCACACATAATGAAAAGACAATCCCTGCCCCCAAAGAGTTTAAAAACTTGACTCTTGATGTGCTCAGAAGGAGAAATCTGTACATGAGAAGATATTGGAAGAGGGGAGTGAACTATTATTAAAGAACACTAGATGAATAAAATCCTCCAATTTAGTAAACCATAATTAGAGGTTATTGCTTTAAAGAAATACACAATATAGGATAGAGTACATATTACATTTTACAACTCATTCTCATCCATATGAAGTTCATTTCCAAATTCACATGGATACTATTTTGAACTAGAGAGAGCAGAGGTTAAGTAGGAATGAAACAGGAAATGGAACAACAAATAAAAGCTATGAAACAAAACCCTGTGTTTTCTGTAATTTGGACCCTAATGGCTTTATCCAGCAGGAACATTATGCATGCAGGAGTCCATGGAAGGCAGCAGACAGCTGCATAATCTGTCCCGGTATCCTGCCAACCTACTCTGCAGAAAGCTGGCTGGGATCCAGGTGTCTCACTAGGAAATGCAAAAGGGGATGGCCATTCTAATAGAACACCTTTTTCAAGCTCCCTGCATCACATTGCTATGTCTTTCTCTTGAGCACAATAAATAAATAAATAAATATAACATAACCACCCTAAAACCAAAGACAAACACCCTTCTCAAAGAGATGCAGACACTTTTTAAACAACGTTTTGGAAGTTAATTTTTCCGAAGTTGAATTAGAAAGGACATATCTGCTAGTCATAGATCAGAAGGCTCAGGGCAGAGTCCATTTAGACATTTCTGGCTAGGACTCATGCCCCCAATAAATGTGTGAAGCTTATACATGGTCTCTTGGCTGCCTTTACACACAGCCATCTGTTAGGCAGAATTGCCCATTCCCGAATAGTACCGGACTGATTCATGATAGCTTAGGTGCCAAGCAAACACACACATAGGTAGGGGATTGTGCTGTCACCTTTTGCAGAAGATAGAAGGTATCTTCTTCCCGACAGTAATCCCTGCCACATTGCCATCACGTGTATTTGTAGATTTGATCACAGCTACTGAAACTTATGTGCCGTAAAGAACAAACAATGGATAGCAGGAGGAGTGCTTTGTAGGCACTTCTGGCTGCGAGAATGGTTTGTAGCACAGCAGATGTCTAGAAATCTAGATGGAGGCACTGTAACTAGAGACCCCTGGGAGTAAAATCAAATAAAAAAGAATCAAGGCACCAGTGTCCCGGTTTATATTTTCCAAACCACAAGGGACATCTGTGAAAATAACTGTGTTATTTCTTTGATGGACAGGGGAAGGACATTCCAGATGTCACTGTGATGCTCACAGGCTTCTCAGTTTAATCTATATCCCTGCTGAAGTCTTTCCTCACAGTGGTTTCTCTGCTAAGAGAGAAGAGATGCCTGACAGGGGGAGACAAAATGTTTGTCTCTATGAGCTAAGAGCTGGAAGAATTTTATCGTTCTTTCTGAGACAGATCACCCCTGGGTATCTTTATCTCCCTTCTCCATCTTGAAGAGTGTGTGCCAACATCCACTTATAGGAGGTGTGACTTTGCATGCTAGCTTATTTCCTGCAGTGTTTTCAAATCTTATAGTCCACATTATATATGGGAGCTATTTTACAGAAAAGTCTGTGCTTTTGGGGCTTAACCCTGCAAGGGGCTGAGTGAGCAACCTGACCCTTAGTTAGCAATGCATTTAAGCACATGCTTAGCTTTCAACATGCAAATAGTGCTTTTGAAGTCAGACTACTCACATGCTTAAAGTTAAGCGGCTGCTTAAGTCCTTTGCTGGACTGGGGTCAGAGTTGTCACTTCCGTACCTTGCAGGATTGAAGCCCTGAATCAAACATGGGGCATGATTCTGATCTCAGTCACCAAGCTGCCAGCATGTCTTAAAAACTGCTATTTTACAGGATATTTGGCGCTACAGAAAAGAACATTATAAGAAGTCAGATGATACTGTCACATCTGATGTCAGAATCAAGCACTCATACGACATAATAAACTATAGAAGTCCACAAAGGTTTGTCTGCCAAAACTCTAAATCTGTATTGAACACAGCTCTACTTTTTACCAACTGTATCTCCTCCAATTCATTAGAAAAGTTTACTATTCTTAACTGTACACTCAAGCTGACAATTTTTTATTGGAGTCTTTCCCCCACTGACAATATAGTCAGACTATTCATCTGATGAAAGAACAGCCCATTTCAGGGTTTGTCATCTGACTTCTTATAAACTTGTCATTTGGCGTTAAATACCGTGACCATGTTGATTAGAGCAACAGTCTGACTTGGGGATGGAAAATGCTGTCAACTCACTACAAAAATATATAAGGCCTCGCTTTTAATTACTCAGTTAGTAACAGATTAGTTCTTATTGCCTGCCAACAGCATGACCTCTCTCTCTCTCAAGGTCAGCATAAATCAAAAGAAATCAGATGAGCCTGAACCTGTCGTTTATTCACTTCTAACCCTTTCATAAGAAAATCTGTTTAACAAAAAAGCAAGTCTCTGTTCAATAAGGAGACCATTATTAGGTCTAAAGAGCCAAATTTCCTGTTGTATTTTTTTTTCTGAATAGCCTCAAGTAATATTCCAGGGAAAAGGGCCTTGATACTGTTTTCTTTGTGAAATAAAAAGAAAATCAGCATTAGAAACATGATATTGCTTACAGGTTTCAAATACCACTACGAATAAGAGTTTCCTGGTTCCATGCTTTAAGGATTAACGGTATTAAGAACTACAAAATTACATTTGTCATGTTTACTTTAGCTGTCTTGATCTGACAAACTTCTGCAAAACTTATAAATGTGGGGTGAATGTGGCTGTTTTCTGAGCTTTTTGACTAATAATTATAGATAATCCTATAAACTGCAGCATTTCACTTGCAAAAATATATATAAAAAAGTTAATAAAACCATCAATATGGTGCTGGTTTAAAAGTTAACTATTTCTTTTGGGCAAGACAGTTGCTTGGTAACACATGGCTGTTGCAGTGATAACCGTAAAATATTTTTAATGTTGAATGGATGCTCCAGAACCTACGTTTTCATTTAAACCCAAAATTATGTTTCTGGCTCTTATGGCCATGGGGAAAGTGTTTTATTTGCCAGATACTAGTGACTTCTTTGACAAAGATCGGGATCTTTGGGAAAGTGCCCAGGCAGTTCAGATGGAGAGCACCTTCCCAAAAGCCTGACCCACACACAATTTTGGTACGCCTATAAATAGTTTTGCCAGATGTATAATTTTTTTAAAAACTGAAATAGTTATACCAGTACAACCACTGGTTAAAAGCTGCCTTGTACCAGTATAGCTTATTCCCAATCCCATAATGGGAACAGGTTATACCCATATAAGCCCATTCATACCAGTATAACTGCATCCACACTCATGAGGGTGTATTGCTTTAACTATATGAGTATGGTTAGAGCAGTACAACTTTCTAGTGTAGACAAGATACTGTAGTTCATAAAAGGAGGAACCACTGCTGTGTTATTGTTTGGTTAGTATTTGTATTACCATAGGGCTTAGGAGCACTAGTCCTGGACCAGGATCCTATTGTGATAGACGCTGTACAAAAGATATTTTTTTCTGGAACTAAAAATCAATGTGAAACTCACATACAAAATCTTAATGGTGGCTCGATTTAGGTTGCTGTACGTGAAACATACATGACACAAAGCTTCAAAAGCAGAAAGACAGATAGAACATGAAACCACCTGACCTCTACTCCTTCCAGACAGACGCATCACTACTAAATTACCACATTCCACAGACAACCTACCACAACCTCTATTACGCTTGCAGTGCCAGCCTTTCATCGTTCCCTGGCTCAAACTTGGGTAAGTGGTTTCCAAGCACTTTGCAGAAGGGGTGGAGTCTAGTCTATTTGTTGTGGGGCAGGGGTGGGGGGTGCACTCCAAGGAAAGAAGCACATATGCCTAAAGCAATCACAATCTCATCCCATATGTACAGGTGTCATTACAGAATGTAGGGCCAAAAAAACACAGAGGGCTAATTCTGCTTTTATTTACACCCATAAAGCCCTCTAAAGTCAATGGGATTCCACAGATATAATAATAGTACTACCAAGGCTCTTCCATAGAGCTTTTCATCAGTCCATCTCAAAGTGTTTTCCCATGGAGGTCAGTATCACTATCCCCATTTTACAGATGGGGAAACTGAGGCACAGAGAAGGGATGTCACCCAGCAGACCAGGGATAAAATCAGGACTAGAACCCACGTCTCTTGACTCCCAATTCAGTGCTTTATCTATTAGGCCACACTAAGGGCAAAAGCTGGCCCTTCTATAGAGAGAATGCAACTCACAAATTGATAATGAATGCAGTAGATATTATCTTAAATGAGATGTAACAGTGATAAAATTCCCATATAAAGAATACAGAGTATATGCACACACAAAAATTAGGGTTGCATCCATATTTGTCTTGCTAGGTATACATTTAGTAACTTAGCTACTATACTTCCTACACACAAGCAATCTTCAACTCTGGTATTCAAATGTCAACCTATTAGTGGGGAACCCCAACTAATTCAGTCATCCATATATTTCTGCAGCATGATTTGTAGATTAGTTACAGCAGGAAAAATTATAATGACAAATATATAGACAAAGCAATACATATTAATCATATCTGCAATAAAAATATCAAATGTATTGTCATGACTTATTGCAGTGTGATACATATGGGCTATTTGGCCAGATGATGCACCAGATGTTTCCTTTTCTTTAGATTTGAAAATTTCACATGCAGCCAAACTCAGGGGCTGTAGGTAGGGGTGGAATTTAATTGTTTAAAGTTAAATGTGCAAATTATGGCATTTATTAAACTGTTAAATTCATATTATTCATTCTCTGCTTATGTCTCCTTTTTCTTGTCCCTCCTCTCAGCTGACTGCACAAACCGACCTGGGGCTGAGTAGATGGACTTGATTATATTTCCATACTTTATTTCCCCCCCTTATATCTAAAAATTGTTTTATTTATTTACTTGTTACAGCATAATAGGATAATTTCATCTTTGGAGTAACTACTGAATGGATTTACAGTAGGGACTGAATTTGACCTAGCACTGCTTCTATATAGCCACCCTTTGAACTAAACATGAAAACCTGGAGAAATAAAAATTAATATTTTAAGTCATGTAAAAATCGTATTTTCTGTGAATTAATTTTTACTGGGAGCAAAGAGGTTTACGTGATTATTGCATAGAGATGGACCCAGTGTTATAGTCAGTCTCTGAGAGAGACCAGTGTATAACGGCCAACAGCCCAGTGGTTACAGTACTGACCGGGGTCAAGACCCACCCCTAGATCAGGCAGAGCAAGGATTCCCTGACCACCAGGCTATTGGCTATGCTGGATTCACACTGCTCTATTTTTTGTAAAAAAATGTCCAAAGCTCTCAAATTCATCCCAATACAGTACAGGAAAAAAATGTTGAAATCTCAAAAATATTAATGGGACAGGAAAACCACTTGCCATCCAGTTCTAATTAGGTATAACACAAACACCCAAGTAGTCATGTGGGCATAGTATGTGTGCGTGTTTTACTATATTACATATATAGGAGGAGTAGATAGAGGGCAAAAGCAGCATGTAACCAATACGGTAGGCAATAGATTTGGGTCAGCTTGGGTGTCATCGGTGCACCATAGCAGGTAGATAAGGCAAGAGCATCCATTTGTGGTAAAATGTTTCCTTCCCCTTCTCCACAACCTCTGAGCTAAAGTCCTTTCTAGAAGGTGGCCAGGCAATCTGCTCCCCTCATGTGGGAAGGCAGCATCTGCATGGCAACTCCCCAGTCCAACAAAGCAGGCAGAAGCCCACAGGAGTCAGCACTCCTACTGGCGCCACTGAACTGTCTTTGAAAATTTAGCAATACTCTAGGGCATCCCCAAACCTGAGCCAGCCCCAGACTGCACAGTGGGACCGTAAAACCCTGCAGCATATGAGGATCCTGCTCTCTTTTCCTGCTAGAGCTGCGGACCTCTCAGGAAGGAGACGGGGGGAATCTTGCACACACTGAGATTTTACAGTTCTCAAGGGGTCCTGGGGTGAAAACTGCAGCTAAACCCCAACAGTATCTTTAAATTTAAAGATACAGTTCAGCAGGGTTTGCTGGGTCCCATGGGCCCCAAATGGGTTTAGGGCTAACTCAAGGTATAAGGAATCAATCCAGCTGGTTTTTACTTTCTCTGAGCCTCTGCACTCATCACTACCCCTGCCAAATATTAGCTCTTGGGAAGAAGTCAGAACCAAACAAAAACTCTATTAACAGTGCACTCTGCTGTACGTTATACTCTACATACCACTTCCAGGCACCTTCTTTGTTACCACTCTCACCCTCCTGCTATTATTTTCTCTCTATTACTGTGAAGTGTTCAACCTTGTAAAGCACTTGGAGATACAGTGTGTATGAAAGACGCTATACAAAATAAAATCGTAAGGCATGGCATATGTTTGATCCTTTTCGGGGTCTGGGCTGTTTCTACATCCACCAAGAGGGTGAGCTGAAGGTTAACTGATCTCTTGTACAAAAGGAAAAAAAGGGAGTTACTGAAAGCTTATGCCTTGAAAGAATAGCCCTGATTAAGGAGGCGGAAAGGCTGTGCTGCACAGGACTCCATGTTGCAGCAGCAAGGCTATCACCCTTGAAAGGGCAGACAGAGAACTCCTTTCTTTATGAAGACCATTCCTACTGGGGGATCCCCAGCCATACTGTGGTTTGATTTGCCCAGGGAGGAAGGGATCTGAAGGCTCTTTGTGCCTTCTTCCCCCTTGACATAACTGAGCCAGGCCCACTCTGGACTACAGTGTAAAACAACTTGAGCAGGCTGAGGGATACAAATCTCCTTAACAGCAGCTCAGAAGGTTGGCCCATGCCTAAGGGTTTATATTCCTTACTTTTTAAAATCCTATCTAAAGTCACTGTGGCCATGGGATACATGTGGCCCAGAGGACCTCTGACCACACTTTTTTGGGAGGTGACAAATTTACTCCCTCATCCCTGTTCACATCTAGGCTGACTGAGGAGCTCGCTGGACCGCGCAAGTTGATTTTCAGTAAGTTTGAGAACACTGGGGAAGTTCCAGTGTCAATTTTTAGAAACAGTAAACGGGATGACAGCCTGACATTGATCCCGGGCAAGGCAATATAGCAGCTGATATGGGACTTGATTAATAATGAACTTAATAAAGGAGGGTAATGTGATTAATGCAAATCAACATGGGTTTACAGAAAATAGATCCTGTCACCCTAACTGATATTTTTTTCTGATGAGATTACAAGTTTGGTTGATATAGGTACTAGTGTGGACATAATATCCTGGGACTTGGTGGCTATGAAATTTTGATTAAAAAAACTACAGATATGTAAAATTAACATTGCACACATTAAACAGACTATAAACTAGCTAACTGATAGATCTCAAAATGTAACTGTAAATGGAGAATCATCCCTCATCAGGTCTGTTTCCAGTGGGGTCCTGCAGATACGGGTTCTTGGCCCTACACTATTTAAATTCCTTATCAATAACCTGGAATCAAAAATAAAATCATCGCTGATGAACTTTGCAGATGACACAAAAATTAGAAGAGTGGCAAATAATGAAGAGGACAGGTCCCTGATTCAGAACTATCTAGATCACTTGGTAAATTTGGCACAAGCAAACAATGTGTGTTTTAATATGGCTACATTTAAATTCATACATCTGGGAACAAAGAATGTAGGCCATTTTTACAGGATGGGAGAATCTCTCCTGGGAAAGCAGTGACTGAAAAAGATTTGTGGGTCACGGTGGATAATCAGCGTAAGGTAAGTTCATTACACAAAATGTGTAATGCTGTGGCCAAAAGAGCTCATGCCATCCTGGGATGTATAAACAGAGGAATCTTGGGCAGGAGTAGGGAGGTTATATTTCCTCTGTATTTGGTACTGGAGTGACCACTACTGGAATTGTGTGTCCAGTTCTGCTATTCACAGTTCAGAAAGGTTGTTGATAAATTAGACAGGGTTCAGAGAAGCGCCATGAGAATGATTAAAGATTGAGAAAACCTGCCGTATAGCGATAAACTCCAGGAGCTCAATCTATTTAGCTTAACAAAGAAAAGATTAAGGGGTGACTCGCTCACTGTCTGTAAGTACCTACATGGGAAACAAATATTTAATAATGAGGTCTTCAATCTACCAGAGAGAGGTATAACATGATCCAATGGTTGGAATTTGAAGCCAGACAAATTCAGACTGGAAATAAGGTGTAAATTTTTAATGATGAAAGTCATTAATACTTGGAATAATTTACCAAGAGTCCTGGTGGATTCTCCATCATTGACTATTTTTAAATCAAGATGGGATTTTTTTTTCTAAAAGATATGTTCTAGGAATTAGTTTGGGGAAGCTCTATGGCTTGTGCTATACAGGAGGTCAAACTAGATAATCACAATGGTTCCTTCTAGTCTTAGAATCTATGAATCTGCTACAGACATCAACCACAGATGCCCATCTCCGGTGTGCAGTGGTGGTGGCAACAGCACATGGATTCTCTGTTGCTTTGCTTCTGTCCATTCAGCAAAAATGCATCAGTTCCACTGTGCTCTGCACCCTTGTGTAAGCACAAACAGCTTAAAGGTTTCACCCAGTAAATAATTTACATCAGAAACACTGAAGGCAAAATGAATATTAATGCATCCATTGCAGGTGGTTTGGGAGAAAGCTCCAGTGATTTGATTGTGCTTTATCTTGTGAGACAGACCTGGTAAGAAGTCTGAGATTCTTTCATGAGAAAGGTATTGTAAAAAAGAAAGGACAGGAAAGGATTCAGAATTGAGGAAGTACATTTACACTAGGTGGCACCAAAGCAAATATTATTTCCTCACTGCACCAGTGCAAGTGGCTGAAAACCGCAGATCAGATATTTTAAAAGATTAATATTCATAGACTACATAATAAAAGTTTGGAAACAGACAGCTGTAATGGTTCAAGGGACACAAAAACATTAGTTCAATAGGCTCTCCATTCCTAAGAACAGTATTTTACAGCATGTCCCATGACCCAGCAGCACTTTGTCCTAATGCAGGCCACTAAAGTTCTGGGAGCTAAACCATGAACTCTGTTCCTTCCATAGAGTGCATACATTTCCTAGCAATAACTTCTGCTCACAGGCAGCATGATGGTTGTTTTCAGCATCATGGAGGTCTAGATTTTATCAGCTCTGCCTTCTCTGAAAGGAAATTGTTCAATAAACTGGGGGTAGGATGCTTGCCTGGAGCCCGTGTCTGAGACATTACAGAAGGTTGGCATGGCTCATCCATACCTCTGACCAACACCCATGCTGTTCAGCCACATGGACACTAATGATACTGCCAGGTCTGACCCTAAGCAGATCAGAAATTGGAAGAAAACAAAGTAAAAAAGGATACAGCCGTGGGTAGGAGAATGGACATAAGGAGGAAGGGCAGTGTGGATACCAGTCTAATAGGTCATACTGGCTGTAGAATGACCGTGCCTAATCAGGCACAGAATGTGAGCGAGGCCAAACAGCAAAAATTAAGATGTTTGTACACCAATGCGAGGAGCCTAGGTAACAAAATGGAGGAACTAGAGCTACTGGTGCAGGAAGTGAAACCAGAAATTGTAGGGATAACAGAAACATGGTGGAATAGTAGTCATGAGTGGACTACAGATATTGAAGGGTCTGTGTTGTTTAGGAAAGATAGAAATAAAGGTAAAGGTGGTGGAGTAGCGTTGTATATCAATGATGAGGTAGAATGTAAAGAAATAAGAAGCGATGGAATGGATAAGACAGAGTCCATCTGGGCAAAAATCACATTGGGGAAGAAAACTAAAAGAGCCTCCCCTGTGATAGTGCTTGGGGTGTGCTACACACCGCCGGGATCTAATTTGGATATGGATAGAGCCCTCTTTAATGTTTTTAATGAAGTAAATACTAATGGAAACTGTGTGATCATGGGAGACTTTAACTTCCCAGATATAGACTGGAGGACGAGTGCTAGTAATAATAATAGGGCTCAGATTTTCCGAGATGCGATAGCTGATGGATTCCTTCATCAAGTAGTTGCTGAACCAACTGGAGGGGATGCCATTTTAGATTTGGTTTTGGTGAGTAGTGAGGACCTCATAGAAGAAATGGTTGTAGGGGACAATCTTGGTTCAAGTGATCATGAGCTAATTCAGTTCAAACAGAACGGAAGGATAAACAAAAATAAATCTGTGACTAAGGTTTTTGATTTCAAAAGGGCTAACTTTCAAAAATTAAGGAAATTAGTTAGGGAAGTGGATTGGACTGAAGAACTTATGGATCTAAAGGCAGAGGAGGCCTGGGATTACTTTAAGTCAAAGCTGCAGAAGCTATCGGAAGACTGCATCCCAAGAAAGGGGGGAAAATTCATAGGCAGGAGTTGTAGACCAAGCTCGATGAGCAAGCATCTCAGAGAGGTGATTAAGAAAAAGCAGGAAGCATACAGGGAGTGGAAGATGGGAGGGATCAGCAAGGAAAGCTACCTTATTGAAATCAGAACATGTAGGGATAAAGTGAGAAAGGTCAAACGCCATGTAGAGTTGGATCTTGCAAAGGGAATTAAAACCAATAGTAAAAGGTTCTATAGGCAAATAAATAAGAAGAAAACAAAGAAAGAAGAAGTGGGACCGCTAAACATTGAGGATGAAGTGGAGGTCAAGGATAATCTAGGCATGGCCCAATATCTAAACAAATACTTTGCCTCAGTCTTTAATAAGGCTAATGAGGATCTTGGGGATAATGGTAGCATGACAAATGGGAATGAGGATATGGAGGTAGATATTACCATATCTGAGGTAGAAGCCAAACTCGAACAGCTTACTGGGACTAAATCGGGGGGCCCAGATAATCTTCATCCAAGAATATTAAAGGAATTGGCACATGAAATTGCAAGCCCATTAGCAAGAATTTTTAATGAATCTGTAAACTCGGGGGTTGTACCATATGATTGGAGAATTGCTAACATAGTTCCTATTTTTAAGAAAGGAAAAACCTTGTAAACTGCAGTAATAGTAATAGGATGAAATTTAATAGTGAGAAGTGTAAGGTTATGCATTTAGGGATTAATAACAAAAATTTTAGTTATAAACTGGGGATGGATCAAATAGAAGTAACGGAGGAGGAGAAGGACCTTGGAGTATTGGTTGATCACAGGATGACTATGAGCTGCCAATGTGATATGGCCGTGAAAAAAGCTAATGCGGTCTTGGGATGCATCAGACAAGGTATTTCCAGTAGAGATAAGGAGGTGTTAGTACCATTATACAAGGCACTGGTGAGACCTCATCTGGAATACTGTGTGCAGTTCTTGTCTCCCATGTTTAAGAAGGATGAATTCAAACTGGAACAGGTACAGAGAAGGCTACTAGGATGATCCGAGGAATG